GCCGACCCCTGCGGCGCGCCCGCGTCGCCCTTTCCCCTTCTGGGACCGTGCTGCAATGGGAGGAGGAGCCGAGGTGGGTGGGCGCTTTGGGAAAAGTGTGACTTTCGGCATTATACCTTCCCAAACTCATTGTCATCCCGCGCCCTTCCTCCGCATCCATCATAAACCTCGCCTATAAATAACTGGACAGAGACAGAAGGGGACCCAGTGTGCCTGGCGGCGAGTGCTGCTGCTAGAGCTTCCCAATGCGGGAAGCGGCGCCGAGGGTGGACCGCCCGCATCCACTGTCTGCCCAGTGGCTGCGCTCTCTCGGCGGGTACCATCGACGCCAGGGCTGGCCCTCCCCTTCCCCCTAAATGACCCCATGGGTGAGGGAGGCCCTTCCCCAAGTTCCCTTGGCCCCAGTAGCAAAGGGCAGTGTGCCAACATGCCTTCAGCATCGTGAGGAAAATGGACTCCAAAATGCCACTTTCTTCTCTCCAAGCTCTGCTGGGGCCCGGTTGCCAGGTGAAGAGCCTGTTCCCAGAGCCTGGTTCACGGTTGGGCTGGAGCTGTGCTGCGCTCTGCTCTCCTCCCTGCCTCACTCGCGCTCTGTGCAGCGCTGGCCCTCGCACCGGCTGGCTGCTGGGTGGGAGGAGAAAGGGAGCCCTTCTCCTGGGGTGAGAAGGTGAGGTACACATTCCCGAGTTCACTTTGGGGGTTGAGGGCGAAGTCATAAACGTTTCTAAAAATTTAACTTTGGCACAGGAAAGTTTAAAGTCACTAAAAGAGGAAGAGCCTGGGTGTTTCCAGGGCCATCCTGTTAGAAGGTGGGAGATGCTGACAGAGGCAATGGCCTTGTATGTTAAAAGCATGCTCTCCTCTTCTCCCACCCCATTAGGTGGGATTTTGGCATGGTGCGGCTCCTCTGACCAAACAAAAGTCCATTAACCCTTGAAATTGCCTAAATTGGCTACAGACATTGGAGCTGAGCAGGGTCAGGAGAGTGACTGGGTGTGGCTGGGGATGTGGCTGGGGCCCAGGCAGCTGGGGGATGAAAAAATATATATATCGATAATTCTGCTCTGTTCCTAAGTGCAGATCTGCTCTGTTCCCTTTGAGGTTTCCAGTGCCAGCCTGCCTTCCCATAATGCCATGTCCAGTATCATCTTTCATCGGGCAAAACCCAAGCACTTTAAAAATTGTAGTTTACAAACTTAAATTAATAGTAATAGCAGCAGCAGTTGTAGAAATGTTGGTGCTGATAACAGTCCTAGTTAAAACAGCAGCAGGTAAAGTAGTAACATAGTGAAGATGGAATATTTTAATCCTTACAAGGTACAGTATGACTCCCTCTATTTCCTATAAGTCTCTGGCATACTCCTTACTGCCTGATGAATAGTTAAAGGGCAGAGTGGCTGTGGGTGGAGGAAGAGGCAGTCTGGATCACTGATGCGGTGATTTCAGAGTGGTAATGGAGCCATAGTTAGTATTATCCATGGGCATTCTGGGGCTGCCCCTCATCCCATGCTTTTGGCTGCTGGCCTGTGGCTAGCTCTGCCTGTCTTCCACCCCAGAAGTGGTGGTTATATTTCCATGGTGAAACCAAAGATGTGTTTGACTTTGGTCAGGCCAGCCCAGTCAGGGCGGGGTTAAGATCTGGATGGCTCATCTACTTCTGCCCCTACTACCCCCCCCCAACTTTGAAAAACTTCAGTGTGGGGAAGGTAGGGGCAGAAGTGGAGGAGCTGTCCACTCTGCCGCCTTCTCTGGTTCTCACCCTCTACATACATTGTCTTTTAAAATCTTTGAAACAACTCAAAGAAATAATGATCATCAGTTTTGCAAAGAAAAAAAAATCACTGCGGTCCTAGAGCCATATAACTCCAAAATCTATGTTCTTATCATCACACCTTGCTGTACAAAGTCAGCATCCTGTAGGCTTCTGTCTCCCTGGAGTCCAATCTCAGGTAGACTCCAGAGCCCTCACACTTGGAAAATTCTCTTGGGAGCTCTCAGCTCTGATAACCAGGAGAAAGAAATACAGTACCTTGATTCAAGGTTCTGACAGGGCTATTTCCAAATATTGTCAAGTTTCACATAAAAAAGAAAAGAAGAGTGATTACAAGCTGAGCAGTGTCAACAAAAACTAATAGGTAACCTGTATAGAAAACTCAACTGAGAGAAAGGATCCACATAGAAGTCACCTGGAGAAGTAGAAGCCTGATGTTGGTTTCCTTTTGGACAATGCATAAAATCAGTTACTACTATTGCAGAAATTCTAGCAAACAGAAAAGTGTCCTTTCTTGTTGGATTATAAAAGTGATCCATACCTATAAAATGTATTGTCTTTTAGAAAATACCGAAAAGTCTAAGGAAGAAAATAGAAAATTACCTTTAACCCCACCACCTAAAGGAATCCATTGTGATATATTTCCTTCCTGTATTTCTTTCTATACATAAAATGTAAACTGTTTATAAAGCAAAGGATCTCTGGTATCCTGCTTTTATTTCCACTTACCATTATGTCAGAAGCATCTTACATCTCATTAAAATATTTTCGTGAAGATTATTTTAAATGGCGATATAAAATTTTTAAATGTGTATTTACAATTATTATCTAATGGAAAGGGAAGGAAAGATGATCACTGTTATTGTTAGAGTTAGAGCAGTGCAGTGTGGCCCTTTCCGTCTTGTGTCTGCCAAAAGGAAGCAGCTACTGCAAGTTCGTTCTGGCAAAAAGGCAACTGACCTTTCCATTGGGGCTGCAGTGCCAGCTGAGCAGCGCAGCAGGCTCCAGGCAGGAGCAGTCTGAAGATGTTCTCTCAAGGATCCATCCTCCTCTGCACAGCTGTGCATAGAGGGGGAGGCTTGGGCGTTGGAAGGAATTTGGATTAGCCCAGAAGTACCTGGAGGTAGAGGCTGTATTGCCAAGGGCATCACAGCACTAAACAAAAGGCTGTTGTGAGGCTCCTGGAGGAAACCTAGACTCAATGGACCCTTGTACTCTGCACAAAAGGCTCCAAGACAATAGCAAGGGGTCATCTAGAATGTGCTAAGAGATGTTAGTCTAAAAAGTCCATTTGGATGACTTCAGGGGACCACGTGAAGGGTATACAGGCAATTTGCGAAGTGCCGGTGGTTGTGGTCTGTTCTGGATTGGAGTTTCTTCTGATTCGTAGGGATCTGGCCAGTGGTACAAGATGCCTGGGCTTGATTTTGCATATTTTACTCTCTAAGAAATTCAAGGAAAGAGAAAAGAAGCATCTTGTTCCTTAAGAATTCCTAATGGCTTTGATACAATGATTAGAAAAGATAGTCTTACTTGCCTGTGGAGGTATAGGAATCTAATCCTTACCAAGCCTGCAAAG